CCATCAAACAATTAAACAAAGCACAAGGCCTGAAGAGAGATTCATAGATTCGTACATTGTAAGGTCAGAAGGGACCTTGGAAGATCATCGGGTCCAGCTCCCTGCACCAAGCAGGAAAGACAGCTAGGGTCAGACAAGGGAAGACTGTACATTAAGTAATCCAGATACACTTTATCATAGCTTTACCTTAAAATAGTAGCAGTAGTACATGGTAACCAAATGTATTAGAAGTTATTTTGCTAAAATGCTTAGATAATTTGTAAAAACAAAACAGCCTTGACACAGAATACCATAAAGTAAGGTAAAGAAGAAACAGGAACAGCATTCCACAATGGGGAAAGAAAGGAGATAAGAAACACTTTCCCAAGGATATCAATCCCAACTAATTGGCACCTTCCAAGTCTACAAGAGATCTGGTTTGGTTCAGTTCCAAAAGTTACAGTGAAACAGACATTTAAATACATCCAAATTGGAAATAATTTATTAGACAATTAAAACCAACCATATATAAATATTGGGTGTAGGCTGGAGGGAAATTTAGAGAACTCAGCAGATTCAAAAAGATCTGCTGCCAATCTGCATGCCACCCTCCTCCCACCTCTCAAGTCTCCCCAGCTGGTGTAGGTGCGAATCTATGTGGTGCTGTTGCAGGTAGCAAGGTAGACTTTGGGATAAATGTTTGTTTTCATGTTTTAAAATGCAAGCAAATAAAAGGTTGGGCTATAGACCTGTTTCTGCCTCTCATCAGTAGCCTACCCACAAGGTTACCTCTAATCTGGGTAACAGAACAGCCTCCCAGTAGTAGTGGGGAGAGCATCAAACCTAACTAGGTTTAGGATGGAGCTGGATCATGTCATGAAAGGGGTGTGACAACTTTCTGTTGCACAGTGATGACCTAGGGAGCAGGTGTTTCTGGGAAGTGTGATGATGAAGCGCGCACAACCACAAAGCAGCTCTTTGCTAGCCTATAACTCCTCACTATCTGAGACTGTTTCTGAAATGTTTCTAATTCTTGGAACAGGCCCACTTACGTTGGGACAGTCAACAAGGTAGTAAAGTAATGCTTGTTACACAACAATTAAGTAAACTGCTGACACATACTCTACTGTCTGGAGTTATGTGGAATAAAGCTGTCAAAATTAATTCTGGTGACAAACAGCTAGGTGCCACCTCTTCTCTCTTCTTGTACAAGAGTAATAGTGGCACTCCAATATGGAGCAGTCAAACATGAAAGCTCTCAGCTGATGCACCCATTATTCTTAGGGTTATATAAACCAGTGTTCAGCGTGGTGCAAACATTATGCAAGTACAGCATGTCTCCAATTCAGAACCCTTGCTTAACATCTTAGAACACATTTGCTATTCAGAATATGCCTTGCAATTTCTTGTTTCATTTTGGCAGCAAAATGGGAATTTTTCTTGTTTTATTGAAAGCACTAGAGGAAAGAATCTTACAAAAGTCTACATGAAATTTCTGTCTTTCCTTCACAAATACTCAACTTTTCTTAACCTACAACCCTGCAACTCGTCTTAAGTCAGTCTGCATCTGGGCTATTAAATTAAACCTACCTTTAGATCTCGTGATGGAGAAACACATTATGAGTAATAATAATTTCTCACCATCATTACCCAGTGATGACGATGATAGTGACATTTTTGCACTAACATGGCTTCAGTAAGACCAAGAGGGGACTTCTACAATGGCAAAAGGGCTTAGGACCTGGACAGGTGACTCTTACTTTAATTATTTATACTGCATTCCAAAGAGGACAAAGTAGTATCTATCTTGTGGCAGCTGTTAACAGAAGGCCCTTTTACAGTGACTTGCCATTGAGCAGCAAGGAAGCGGGTAAATAACTTGCTGACAATGGGTAAACAGTTATCCCAGGATGAAAACAGACAGATGACACCTAAAGCAATGGGACTTCTGTTAGTATAGTGTTATTCCAGTTATTCCTGGGATTATTCTACACTGGATTTGAATGTTACATTGTAAGGACCTACCTAAATCTTGGCGGAAGTCCTACATAAATCTCACCGTTTTTGCTGCATGCCCCCACCCCCCTGCCACTGCTGTTGAGCTGCCAAGAGGCAAACATCGCAGCATTAATTGCCTCTTGGCCACTCAGTGGCAGAGGTGGGATGGGAGGGTGGCACAATGAAGAGAGTGAGATTAAAGGTACCACTGCTGCAAACTTCTGTAGTGATTTAGGTAGATCCCTATACATTAGTGAAGGATTCATGTTATCTGCCCACATCTAGTTTATACCAGTGTAAAAACTGGTTATGTTGATACAACTCCAAATCGCTCTTTCTTCATGCTTCCTGAAGAGATTGCAAAAGTCTGAGGGTGGGTAAGGAAATTCTAGTTAGTTCCAGCTATAGTGATGAATTGTGCAACGTGTTCCATGTTTAACATGTCCCTTCTTTAGAGAGATTTCACAAGGACTCACAAAAGCAGTGAGCAGGAAGCAACAAGTCAGGAAAGGATGAAGGTGATAGCTGCTCAGTTTGGACTTGCAGATATTAGAGCCATTCAAACAAAGTGTTGTTTTTTTTAGTTTGCATTAAAAGAAAGAAGATAATGGTATAAAACTGTGAATATTAATAACTTATTATGGCACCATGTAAAAGGTGAATTTTCAACAAAGGCTCCAAATTTAGGATTAGAAATGGATTTAAATTTAAACAATTTGGTGATTATCAGAACAAAGAAGAAAGAAAGGGAATTTCACACACAAAGGGCAGCTTAGGAAGTGTATACACTAGCTGAGAATAGCTGTGGGTTGATATTTGTAACAGTATTCATTGCTCAAATCCAACAGAACAGATGGTCCTGAGTAGATCTAAAACTCACATCACAATTCACAAATGAACAGGCCAGCATTTCACTGAAGTTGGGAAAAAATCGGAGTTTCTCAAGAAACTTACATATTGAAATATGGCCCCAGGTTGGCAGAAGGCAATGCACTACCCTTTGGCAGGAGCAGAGGAACTCTCTGTTTTGCCAGCTTTGACAATTTTTTTTCTTTTCAATGCTGAGGACTTTGCTGATGGAGCAATATCTTAAGCAACAAATTTAGATCCAGATGACCTGGTTCTGCTCCTGCATGCACAAAGTCCACACTCTGGTAATTATATTCACTTCACAGGGGTACTGACTTACCTCAGTGCAAGTAACAGGCTAAGGACCAGTACTGGAGACTGGAGTCAGAAAAATACTAAATTAAAGAAAATTCAAAACAACACATTGGAGACCATGTGCCTGATTTGGATCTCATTTGCCTCTGTACAAAGCATGAGCTATATCATTGGAATCCAGAGCTGAGAGCAGATCCTAGATCTTTATATAGATTTTCATATTTGTTTATTCATAAAATATGAGGTGCTACCTATGTGGAATGAGGAGACCCACAGCCTGATATTATGGGCTAGGGACAGACATTATACATAAACTGGTTTAAGTGATCAGAAACTGGTTTAAACCTGTAACAGAACAGAAGTTCAGTGCACATAAACCAGTTTCAAAATAGCTGAAACTGGTTTAAGGTAAACCTGGTTGAATGTGCCATCAGACTTGGCTATTTTGGGTCAAACTGGTTTATGCAATGTCCGTCCCAGACCCCTTTCTGGTTTAAGATAACCAGAGCCCCCCGGCATCCCAGATGCTTTGCAGCCCTGGGCTGGGCTGGGCTGGGCTAGGCTGTGCTCTCTACTCCAGAGAGCAGGGCTGGCCCCACCCCTCTCTTCCCTAGCCAGAGCTCTGGGGGAGACTGCAGGCACAGCAGGGTCTGCCTGGCTTCCCTCGCTGCTCAAACAGGGATTCCCCCCCTCCCTACCTCCCACAGCATGGACCCCATCCCCATGGACCCTAGGCATGTGGTATGCTGAGAGGCATGTCTGTGTGTGTCTCCAATTTCACTGGGACAGACAGACAGAACAGTATCCACTTAGGGCTTTTTGGAGATAATCAACAGGCCAGCTGTTAATGTTCCTCCATTCCTTCCGTGGAAAAAGCTGTTTAAGAAGAGCTTGAACTAATGAGAGAAGCTTTCGTTTTGTTGATGGGCTGATAAACACTGGTTTTATTAGCCCCCCACCCCTAACCCCCGCTGGTTTGCAGCCCTATCAGGTTTACAGACAGGAATAGGGAGATTGAAAAGCTCAGTATCATCAACAGATGCATGCACTGCATACCCCACTTTGCCTCAGAGTGCTAGCTGGGGTCTGGCAACATTCCCACCCCTTGAGCAGCGAGTGGGGGAAGCCTGAGACAGTACAGGCCAGAGTGGGGGTTTAACCCCTTCCTAATCAGAGAATCCTGCCTGGGTCAGGTCCCCCTGGCCCCCCCAGCTCAGCACTGTGAAAGGGAAAGGGGGGCAATCCCATTCAACTAGTCTTCTGCCTCAACTATAAAACATATGAGCTAGAATCTGTCTTCTTTGCTTCTCAAAAGTATTACAACATTATTATTACACTATAGTACTACATTACTTTGCAGGTGGTTTCACTGACTTTGGTCAGACAGCTCATTGCACAACTGAACAGGAATAATGGGGGCAGAACTTTTCCCTCCGCGTAGGGCCAGGGCCATATGTTCATGGGTAAGGTGCCCAGAGCAGGGGCCAAACTTTAGAAAGAGGTCAAATCCCATTTAAAGACCTTCATGTGGTGCTTATTCAGATAATACAGTACTAGGCAACACTATAACATCCGGCGAAAAAAATGCTTGAAACTGCTCAGCATCTTCAACCCCAGTGGGCTGAGGGTTGTTTTAATCTGGCTTATTCTTTTGCTGCCTAACAGAGCTGAGACAAAAACCTGTATCAGAGGGTCTAAGTACTTCAAAGAAATTCTTTCACAATCCTTTCCTGCACTTCTTATTTTCTCTTCTGGTAATATTTCAGCAGCATGTGATAGAAATGTAGGCATGACTTTGGAAGGCTCCCTGTTTCTATAAATGGTCAATTGCCAATTACCATTATTTTAATCTTTCATAGAAATAAGGATTGCCTAAAAATATGGGAGACATTACAAGATGCATTTATGTACAAGAACCCATGTAATATTACAACAGATGACTATCAGCCTTTAATGGATTTAGCAAGACATCCTGTACCATGCAACAAGGTAACAATGCTTGTGTGTGGATACGGACTGTATGTGTTCTTTCTCTGTATAATTCCTACTACAATGGACTCTTTCCACGGTAATCACAAGTGATTCCAAATACCTGGAGGTACCCTGACTTCAGGGTTGCTATAATGTCCCACCCATGCATATGTTCTTCTGGACCAAGAATCCCTCAAAATTCTGTTTATTGCCAGCCATTGCTGAACATCATTGTTTCTACTGACAGTGTCTGGACCATAAAGGGAAAATTGTGGTGTCTGTTACAGCTTTAGAAGAAGTACTCTCCATAAGGGAGATGTAGCTATACGGTTAGAGGCAAAAAGCTTTTAAAAGTTATTGTTCCATATGGTATCAGAACGCAGATAGTAATGGAGAAGTTATATTAACTAACCAAACAATATCCCTTAAAGTTATTTACACCACATTGTTAAAAATATGACAGTTTGTGATAAAAAAGCAGCCATTTTCATCAAACCACTCTAAAATCTGAAAAATAAAACAGCTTTTATTTTCAAGCTTTTCACAAAACCCTGAAAACTAAAACATGTTTATCGTCATCAAAATGGTCACAATGAAAGTCTTCATTTTCTGACCAGCTCCAATATCAGTGCCATTTATTACACATTATCTCCTCTCTCACACAGTCACTGTTTTGGAGCAAGACAAATGAACTGGTTCACCGTTACACAAAAGTTGACCACAATTTCCTTACACTGGAGGACACCTTGTTGGGTTACATAGCTGACCAGGTGTCATGGTGTGGTGATCCAGCCAGTCCAGGTAAGGATACTTTTTCACTCCCATACAATAAATATATGACCATTGATAGTTGTCATTTTTCCTTTGCTCATATATTTCAATAACAGATTACATACCTCTCAGGACTGATACTTCCCCTCCTTGGCTTCAACCCAAATGTAATTTATTTTTAAAGTATTGAACCTTTAGCCTTGCCTGAGTTATGGAATTGTGAAAAAAAAATTATTTCTCAACTTTACTTTTAAGCAGTTTTTTAACTCCCAGTGCTGGGAAAATACCACATTTTCCCTTCACAGAACACACACCTTTCCCTTCCAAAACAATGTGGGGCAAATTAGAGTAAGTATTATATGCAAGAGATATGCATTTCAATGGGTCCGAAAATTTGGTGGAAAGGAAGCATGGCAGCATTAACTGCCATAATTCTGGGCATGTGGATTGGGCCAGTGTATGGGAGTAGTTTGCAGTTGGACTTAATACACAGCCCCAGACCCAGCATGCTGGATTGGGCCAGTGTGCAAGGTTGGTTCTTTGACATCATCCAGCACATAGGACTGGCAGCAGGCTCAGCTCTCCAACTGTTACTACATGGTTACTTACCTATAACACAAGGTAAGAACGTTTATTTTTCAAGATGTTTTCAAGATGTCTTTCAAAAACAGGGTATGTATTATATTCAAGGGTGAGTTGCATACAAGACAATATGATATCTCACTGCACTTGGCATATCACTGGTACAGACTACAGGGTCACATGTCTTTACTTTAGTCAGTATCTTACTGGGATTGCTATGGTAGCAATTGACGAATAATGTCCTGAGGCTGTAATGGAGCTCTAATCAGAGAAGCCCTTTAAATTTGCATAGTCTTACTGAAGATAGGATGCAATATTACCTAAATGTTTGATGACTTCTCTAACTATAGTTTGTGACAAAATGTTTTTTTCTGTTTTTGTTTTATGGCTTAAAGGCATTAACTATGAATCTTGTCCAAAGTGGACCGAATGTGAGAGCAACCCCAGCACTGTATACTGGAAAATGGCATCCAAAATGGTAAGGCCTATATAGCAAATTTCATCTGCTATGGGGGAGGGGGTAAAAGAAGGTAAATCCTGGCCCCACTTCAGTCAGTGGCAAAACTCCCACCGATTGCAGTGGGGCCAGGATTTTATTTGGCCTCATTCAAGAGGGCAGACCTGTGGCTAAAGTATTTATTTATCACTTGGTTCTGTCTGGTGTCTTTGTTCTATTGAATGGGGAACTAAGGCTTTGATCCTGCAATCAAATCCATGAATCTTTGCATCTCTTCAGTGTGACTTGAAGTCTTTCTACATAGATCTGTCAATACATTTATTATAAGAAAAGAAATGTAGCAAAGAAAAATAGTTAAAAATTAAATGTTAGAACATAGCATGAATTTATCACTGCTCAGATGCAAACTGCACCCAAACTATCAGTAGTACAAAGCTGTACCACAAGTCATAGAAAGATTGCAGTAATCACAAGGACCTGACCTGTGGTTGACTAGAGGCCTCAACTCATTTTAAACAATTAAGAATGAGACACTGTGCCACATGGGTCTGAAAATAGACATTTCCCAAGGTTTGCACTAAGATCTTGTATTTCATGCTGTAGCAGGCTTAGGGGTCCAACACTGGCATCTGACACTCCCCAGCAGTCAGACTCACATGCTGCACTCTCTGGTCTCCTAACCTCCTATCTGCCTGTATGACTCTGAGGTTAATAATGATGCACTTAAGAAGCTGTCTTTAGAGGCTGAAGTAGTTCATTTAGCACCTTCCTTTTCAGCAGTCTTAAGGGTTTCTCTGCCTCCCAAACTCAGTTCTCAGGGCTTCTCCACCCCCAAAGCCATACACATGCCTCATAGGTATTACTCTAATTTCATTTACTGGGTACACTGGACTTGTCTTTATCTCACTTTATCCCAGCCTGTGGGCACCTTACCCTTGCAGGGCTGCTCCCACACTGTTTCTGCTCTTTGCTAGGCTCAAAGCACAGAGGGCCTTCCCAAGATATCCCTCTGTAGCCTCCAACCAAACCCAGTCCTCCAGGCTGGTGAGGGGTGGATAGGTTACATAACATAAAATGCCTTATTGTTGTAAGGCTCCTTCTTCTTCTGAAGATCTGGGCCATCCTGATCCTCTAGCCCCAGGCTTAGGCTTATTTGACCCCTTTCTCCTCCTCCTCCCTCTGACCTGGCTCAGTGTTAACAGGGCCCAGGTGTTGCTAACTCCCTAATCAACAGCCCAGCATCCTGGTACCCACAGTCTGCAGGCTGGGTCCTGCAGCCTATTTACTACTCGCATCTACTGTAGGTTCCCCACAAGCTGCACTTGCTTTGCTGGCTTGGTCCTGCTCTGCTGTCTTCCTTCCAGTAACAGGGGAGGGGGTCACTGGTTACATATACACAGTATTTAATGTCACAGTTGTTTGGCCATTCTTATCCTGACCTGAATTGGATCCTCTATAAGTGACCATCTGGATATTTGCTCTTCAACAGTACCAAGTGTATGGCAGTTGCTTTATAAATACTAATTACAATTTTTATAATTAATGAGGATAATATTATCAGAATCAAGCCCACAAGGTAAAATTACTAAAGTAAATATGTGAGGGCTGCAAAGCATTCTGGAAATCACTATAGATTCTGGCTGAGAGAACGAGACTCCTACCTTCTTAACATAAACCCCAAGAGAAAACACTTCTTTAAAATTCACCGATACAGCAAGGTACTGGCAGAATTGCCTCACATTAAGCATGCAGCAACCCCACTGACCTCAAATTAAAGTTAGGCAACTACTTTAGTGTCTTGCTGAATCAAGGCTTTTCTGAATACTCATTTAGATCTATTCTGTTAGGAGTCTTCTAAATCAAAGGCAATTGAAGGCCACTTTTCATCACCTTCAAATCATAGATAATCTTCCTTTAACACTCCCAGCTCACTAACTTTACTCTTACTCCTGGATGATGTCAGTTGACAAGAGAACTCGCAGTAATGCACTAATGGATCCAGAAGAGGGACCCTGATTGGGACAACCTTTGCTAAAGATTTTAGTTGAAGTTAGACAGATGTCTCTTGCTACTGTGTACCATTCTAGTAGGTTTAACTATGGCCCCTGGGAATGACCAAGACTCCCTGACACACTTAGGTTGAGCAGCAGTTTTCTGTGATGCCTGCTTCCCTTGCTAGTTTTTGGCAGAAGAGGAAGATGGACATAGTTCAATTCAACTACATCTACTTGGAGCGTAAAAAGGTGCTTAAAGATCAATAATACCTTCAGAATTAAAATTAGTGACCAGCTCCAAGGAGATGAAGATTCCACTTGCTTCCTTGGGACTTAAAGATTATAGGAGAGGGTCCCTCCAGTCTCAAGAAAGGATAATGTTTTTACCTGTTATTTTAGTTGAATTAAACACTTTGTTTTCTCTTAGTCTAAACCAAGCATTAAGAGAACATTCTTCCTTAGTCTGAATAGTGCTATTGCCATCACTCTCTTATGTGAATAGCCTGAAACAAAAAAAATACGATTTTCAGAGATTGTTCTGGGTGTGTATAGTGCAGCTTGCCAATCTTCTAAAATGTGCAGGATCTGTAGCTTGTTCTTGGATCAGTTCATGAACCCGATTGATGATGGTCTCCCTTCCAGCTTCTGCCAGAGACAGGTATATTAGCTTGAACTATGGCTGAGGAACACACAGTAGCAATGGGGCATCCTAGAAAGGGCTTCAAAGCACTTCTGTGCCACTCAGCTCTCAAGGTTCCTTTGCATCACATTGGGCCCATCCCCAGTGTAATTTAGCATTGTCTGTTGGCTGCTGTGTTTTGCAACAACTGCTTACAGACTCAGGAGCCCATTTTAGCTCTGGACTGCAGGGATATCTGACTGACTGTAGAAGGAGCAAGGGATAACTTAAGCATTGCAGTAGTGACTCCCCCATGTAAGAACTGATTTTCACAGGGGAGTCCTCCAAGAGCTGCCAGAGGCTTGGCTACTCTTTGCTACAATGCAGCTCATCTCAGGTGAGGCCCTGGTTTGTTGTGTACAGTAGGAAGTGTAGATTCAGTCCCATATCCAGCAGGACATCCTGATCTCTCAGGTGGCTCATAGATTTACAGTTACATCCAGGGCTGGAAAAGGGCATTCCCAAATGGAAACAAGTGGTCATGCTCCCTTTGCCTCTCATTAGCACTTGAAGTAATTTACTTTCCAGGACCTTCTGTTTGAATAGCTTGCTGCCCTCTTATTTTTTTTCTTTAATCCCACTAGCTTTCAGTGGCAGAGGCACAGGCTAGTTCAAACACAAGTGCTGAGGTTCAAACAAAGTTAATACCCTGCAAAACAACTCAGTCATAACAGGAAAGAGTTGTGCTTAATTAACTCCTGTTGTAACTTCATTGCTTTCAAGAGGTTAATTTTACCTTAAAATTTATATATAAGAACACATACAAGTATGGACATACACAGCCATTAATACTGAAAAATCACCTTATCCTCCAAAAGCATAAATAAATATGGGTACTCAATAACTGTAGCCATCTTAGAATACTTTAGAGAATAGAGGTACATTAATGCTTTAGTCACTTAAAAGTCAAACACTACGTGGTGTAATGTTTTATCAAAGGAAAGCTGAAGACCCCAGAGCTTGAGCTGCTGAAGACAAGCACACAGCACAGCTCAGAAAGGAGAGGCTGCTCTAAGGCACATTGCATATCAAGCCTGCAGCTGCTCTTCTTTGGGTTATTGTCCCAGGTTAAGTAAAATTAGTGTAAGGACTGCTCTGTCTTTCACAGGCTGCCAATAACTCCATGGCACTGATGGCAGCTGAAAGTCAGGGTCATTGTACCCTGTGACCCTTAGACTATACACAGAACAAGTATGGTACAGACATCATTATGCCCACTCTCTGCCACCCCAGGATTAGCATGTAAGCAACAATTCATTTCTAGCCATTTAATGAAGCGTAAGGGCAATTTTGCACCAGCATATACAACCTTTTCTTTTCACTATCATCTTCTATTAAAATAGCAGGGCAGATCCTTAGCTGCATAAATTGATGCACTTCCACTGAAGTCAAAGGAGAGATGCAAATTTACACGAGCTGAGGACTTGACCCTTTGTTTCACTGGTCTGATGTAAAATGTCTATTTGCTTTGTTCAGTTTGCAGAAGAAGCGTGTGGTGTGGTTCAAGTGATGCTCAATGGATCAATAGATGCTGGAGCATTCAGAAGCAGCAGGTATCTACTTAACACAGGGGTGGGCAAAATACGGCCCATGGGCTGGATCTGGCCTGCCAAGCACTTTCCTCTGGCCCATGGAGCCCCTTCAAAACCCACATAATGGTGGCTGCCTCTCTAAAAGCCTCCAATGGCACCAGCTGCAGCACCTCAGGCCATTTCCTTGGGTTCTGGTTACGAGGCAACCAACCCTGACCTTAGTCTGACCCAGCTGGTCTCGCCCTGCCCTGGCTCAGGCCACGTTTGTAGCTGGAGAGGGGCGGAGGGGCTGGGCCAGAACCTGTGTCACCAGTGAGGGGAAACAGTGTCTGGGCCAGGTTCTGCTTTGCTATACGAGACTGGAAAAGGCCCTGCCCTCCAGGTAAGCCTGGGAAAGCGGCTGCTGGGCAGGCTTTCCCTGTGCCGTGCCACTCGGGTCATGCAGGGTCAGGCTGGGCTGGCACCGGGGAGGGGAAGCAGCAGCAGCTGGGCCGCAGCTCCGGCACAGTCAGCACCAGAGAGGAGAGGTGGCGGCGGAGCCGTGTGCCGCTGAGGAAAGGATGAGCCCAGCTGGAGCGGCAGGGGTTCAGCTGCATTTTCCCCCTACCTGCGCTGGTCAGTTCCGAGCGGCATGCGGCTCTGCCACCGCTTTTGCTGCCCAGTGCAGACCTGGTCAGACCTATCGCATCCGGAGCAGCGTGCAGCTGAAGCCGGCTTCCCCCATGCTGCTGGGGACAGGAGGAGCCCAGCCGGGTCAGCACTGGCCAGCAGAAGGGGTGGCGGCGCCATGTGCCACTCGGGACTGACCGGCGCAGGCAGGGGCAACGTGCAGCTGAGCCCCTGCTGTTCCGGCCAGGCTCATCCCATCCCGAGCGGCACACGGCTCCGCTGCTGCTTCTGCTGGCCAGTGCAGACCCAGCCAGGCTCCCCCCTTCCCCAGCAGCACATGAGGAGCTGACTTCAGCTGCATGCCGCTTTTCCTGGCCGGTGCAGACCTGGCCGGGCTCCTCCTGTCCCCAGCAGCACACGGGAAGCCGACTTCAGATGCATGCTGCTTTTCCTGGCCAGTGCAGACCTGGCCGGGTCCGTCCCATCCAGAGCAGCATGCGGCTGAAGCCAGCTTCCCAGGTGCTGCTGGGGACGGAGCGAGCTTGACTGGGTCAGCACTGGCCAGCAGAAGCGGTGGTGGAGCCTCCTCCTTTTGGGACCAGCTGGCACAGGTAGGGGGAAAGTTCTGGGGGAGGTCTGATGCCCCTTAAACCCCACTGCTGGGGCAGGATGTTAGAGGGGTCACAACCCCTTGCTACCTGGTAAGTTGTGCAAGGGGAGGGACTTCTGGCAGCAAAGGTCAGGGGGTGGGGTGGGGCTTCTGGTCCCAAGATGGCAACCAGGGGGTAGGGCAACTGGAGGGGTGGGGCTACCAATGCAGCCCTCAACAGCTAGCCAAAACTCATCAAGTGGCCCTCCGCCCGAAATAATTGCCCGCCCCTGACTTAGCAGATCGCTTTCCATGTAGCTGTCCATCTAATCCCTTACACAGGGACTCTGAACTGGCAATCCCAATGTGAGACTGGGACCTTATTCTAATTAAGGCTGGCTCTTCGGTTTTTGTAAATCAATGCACGTCCATTGCCCGCTCTGTAGTTGCACTAATTTAAACCCAGTGAGGCTCTGATCCATTGTATTCTGAAAGCATTTTGTGATGCACTTGATCCAAAGGGCTTTCCAGGTTTCTTTCGCTTTATGCTGTACATGCATTCCTGGAAAACAGTGCATAACTTTAATTCACGTAAAGGGAACCCATTTTACAATGTAACAAATAGGGAGGGATACGTTCCAAGACCTTGACTGTATTGACCCCCAGTCTCATTTCTATCACTTTTACAAGATAATTTTGGTACTCACCAACAGCAGACAGTACACACAAGCACAGGGTGGTGATGGATGTTACCATAATGGGGATGGCAACTATAGAAACACATTGCCGACAACAAGCGAGGAGCGCAGATCCACACGAGAGACTATATGTTGATGCGCGTCATTCCTACAATGCACCGTACAAAGCAGCTGACTGCAGGCTTCTACCACATCAGTTGTATAAAAGCAAATTCACCCACCTCAAATATAACAACTTTTTGGTATAAAAGGATCATTGCATAAGAGTGAATTCGACATACAGAACCTGCATAAAACGAGGGAAACCTGTAGAGGAATAGTTCAGAACAGACTCCTCTAGTGTTTTACACTCACGTAAACTATATGCAAATATACACTTAAGTTGATTTAAGTGCCAATCTATACAGAGATTCGGGGAGGTTAGACTGGGCAAAAACTAGTTAGCCTGATCTAAGTTAGATCACCTGAGGAGGTGAGATAAATTAGATTGATGGGTTAGCCTGATCTACTGACTGTCTGCACATGTTTGAAGAACAGCCCTGGGGCTTGGAAAACCCAGCCACTTGCCCCAGCCATAGACTGTGCTCTTCCTACTCCCTACCCTGACTGGGCTGTTTTTAGCTTCCCCCGCTTCCTGGATGGACGACCCTCCCCCACAGACTCACCAATACCTATCAACCCCCTCCAATACTGCCAAACCTCCCCACAGACACAGGAATGTGGCTAGTTGCCCCAGTCCTGTCTGCCCCTCTCCCCACCCTGACTGACTTAGTTTTGGTTCCTGGCACAGCTCCCGGCACTGGCAAATGTGTGCACAAGCCACTTCCAATCCACAATGACATGGCTTAAAGTACACAGTGGAGAATGTCTGGATGTACCCATAGCCAACACGGATCACTACCCATTGAGAAGACTTGGTTTTGATCCTATGTTTCCCTCACAACTGACAGGAGCACAGTCTCTGATAACAGAGCTGGAGAGCCAGCCTGTTGTTCTGCAAAACCAGCAAAATCATTTTAGGCCTGGATTGCACCAGTGAAGAAAAAAATCATTAGAGATCAATAAATCTTAATGTCTTTCATTCTCTAAGACTCCCTTGAATGAATGAAAATAAGGAAAAAAAGTCATTTTCCACAAGTTAGTATTCTGTGAAAATCCCATGGAAAAATTCTGTGTTCTTTCCCCTGGGAGTAAAGGCAATTTGTATGATAACATACAATAGTACCTGAAGAACAAGCTTGGTATATCTTGTCTGGATACTTAAAAGGTGATTAGCTTTTCCCTGCTTCCATTTTTTCAGCATATTTGGAAGTGTTGAGATCTTCAACCTAGACCCAAATAAAGTTTCTACGATACAGATCTGGCTTATGCACAACATTGGAGGTCCTAAAAGGTAATATCATTACAGCCACTTCTGCTGAGCCAGTTCAGCACAGCGTGAAATTGGTTTTTTTCTGCTATCTGTTGAACTACTTGTCAACCCCCTTGTCTTCTAATTCTTTCTCCTTTATAGCTGTGAAACTCCACTGAAAACCTACATATCCTTGTCAGCTGTGCAGAAAACTAGTCACACAGCTGGCAGAGTTGAAAACCATGTTTTTATATAGGAGCTAAGCAAATTTGCACACCCCTGTGAGGCAGTAAATGTAGAGCCACCACATTGCTTAGGTGTTGGCCAGGGGTGACTGATTACTAATTACTCATTTGATACCATTCTCAATTCACTCATTTTTAAGTGATCTATTCAATGATTGGGAAATGGTTTAGACAATCCTCATTGACTTAATGATAACTCAGCAGTGTTACAGAAAAAAAATGTTTATGAAAGAGTAAGTCTCTTACCAAACTTTCTTCCGGGGATTACAGAACACAGTGGGGATGCACCTGAAGTCTGTTGCCAAAGTGAGTGTCAGAGTCAAACGTATATAGAAGATGTGTCACAAGGCAAATAAGGCTAGAAATTAGAAATGCCATTGTCTTCTGAAATTCTGAGAACAAGTCCAAACGAGTTCTTGGTGGTTCTTGGGAAGGGTCACAATTAAACAATGTGTATCACTCCAGGAAAGATTTACTTCTGAAAAGAAAGGGAGTTTTCATCTTTCTTCTCTCTGAAACTCATGTACCTGATAGCCATTGCCTGAAAGTCCCTAGCCTGGTTGACACCATTGGGCCCAGCTCAATTAGCAACCCCCGCTAATCAAAGTTTAAACACTAATTAGAGCACTGGTTCTCTCAGCCCATGTTAGAATAGCATCCATATCAAGAGACTTTCTTTAAGATTTTGGCATAACCATGCAATGACACTATATAAACTATATCAAGTTTATGTAATTCTCTAAATGTTATCTAGGAGATTAAAACTACATTGATAGACCTAGGTGCATAGAATTATAGATAAATATATGCATATAGTTTTGTTTATGTATAATCTGCATCAAGACTATGTGAACAACAACAAAGCCATTTTTTCCAAAGTCTATTTTAAAATAACAGTGTTCAGAAGTAGTTATTATTTGAATTATTTTAATACAGAAAGTGGTTTTAAACCACTGGAGGATTTCTCTTGTAGGCTCATCATGACAGTATCTGAGCACTTTCCTGTAGTGCATGACTACACCATCTGTGTGCTCTCATATCCTCTCCCCAAAAGATGTGGTGTGGTCAGTGAAGTGTTTTAATTTGGAATTTATTTATCATACAAACAGATTGTTATATGTTATGCTAGAGAAGACAAGTATAATAATTTTGCCTTGCATTTGCAGCCAAAGATGGCAAAAATTGTGTACTTTGCCTGGTATAGGAAGTCTTTAGGCAAGGGGGATAGTCCGTGTTCTGGATCTCTGAGTAACACCACATACTTCATTGGAATCACTCCTGAGTTTTACTAGTCATTATATTAGAATTGGATCCAGGGGCATTTCTGCTAGTTGAGAGGCTCTGCTTATTGCTTACATGCATTTGAGTATCTGCACATCAGTTGGCAGAAAGTGTTCTAACAACTGGATTTATCTGCACACAAAGGCTCAGCCCCAAACCAAGATAAATGTTATGCTCAAAGATGGCCCCAAGCTTCCAAATTTCTGTGACCAAACCACAAGAAGGGAATAGGCTCATTGTCCAGAATAGTGGGGTTCAGAAATCACCAGGACACATTTCTGCACTACCAAGTCCTTGCTGCTAGTCTTCGCTCCTCACTGTGCAGCTGTTGCACACAACCCAGGGCCTCCACAAATGGCCCCCATGGTGTTGTTCCCTCTTTACATTTACTTAAGTTCCACTAGCTTGTTTTGCCCCCCTCAGCAGCTATAAGGTGAGTGTAGATATGCTGTGAGGCTGCTCCAACTCGCTGTAATTACAGCACAGCTTTTTTTATGCTGTAATTACAGCGTATCAGCATCCTGTTGCTTCAAAATGGCAGCGAGGGCACTTGTATTAAAGCTTGTTGAATGAGTTCAAGTGCCCCCACTACATTTTGAAGTATGGGGATGCTGATACACAAGATGCTGAGGTGCTTTAATTAGAGCAAATCCTGGAGCTGCTCTAATTAAAGCGCCCACCCCTGGAGCACATGTAAAAGTGCCCATACAGTAGCTCCTACCTTGTGCTCTGACAGCCTCTTCTCTATACTTTTCACTAATGCCAGAGGTCCATTCCTTGAATCCTCATTCATTATTTCTGGAGCATCAGCTCCATGAATATTCACTTCATCTCCAGATTCACACTACACATCACGTCACCAGCAACTCTGGTTCAGTCTTGTGAACAGGGAGCTGTTTATCCACTTTGCAGTTACCCTGTATTTTGTGGCACAGCCCTGTGTTTGCCTCAGTGTCAAGCCACTTCCCTGACTAGTCTCACAGGCAGGACCACGAGAACAAGTGCGTTCAGTTACAGTGCGCATTTCTTACCACCTAAGTGCACTGTCCAACCTACATTTTTGTATTTCACCTGCTGCTCCATCACTTTATGATCTTCAGTCCTACATCACTAGAGAGCTCTGGGAAGAGCAGGACTGACCTTGCGGAAGGCAAGATATTTCAATCAATGAGGCATCCAGCGCCAACAACTGCCTTTGCTTCTTCCTTGGTTTTCCCAGGCTGCAATATTCCACACAAGTAACAAGCTATTTTTCTTTCCAGGGACTCTTGTACAGGTTACTCCATAACAAGGTTAAAAAGCATCCTAGAAGAACGAAACTTCATTGTCTCCTGTGAAGACAATTATAGGTAATAATTTGCTTTGCGTTAAACAGTGTACACTTGTTTAAAATGAGACTGTTTCTGCCTCCCCAACCCCTCTCCACCATATTGGATTATTTTGGGAAGAAAACACATCACGTTTTATTATCCTAAAGTATAAGTTGCTGTTGCAAACATGACACCCGAGGCATAGGGTTTTGTATCATAACACTCATTGCTTTTCATACCAAGGGAAACTAGGAGGTCCCAATATGTTTCTCTTTTCTCCCACTTAGCAAAAGGCTGACCTGGCGGCAGGTAGGGGTCCACCAGCACCATCCCAGGCTGAGCTGAGAACCATGATACCAAAGAAATAAAAACTGGATCAGGGGATTACTACATGATGGGTGTGTCTACACAAGATGCTACTGTGCAGTAGTTCATTGCTACCATGCAGTAGCATTGCCACACACTAACCACATGGCAGCTGTACTGCACAGTAGTAATGAGCTCATTGCTACTACACAGCAATGTTGGAAAAAAAAGTGGGGTGATGGTACTGTGCAGTAATGCTGGTTTAGTGCTTATGCAACTACTAAATGACTTGTGTAGATGTGGCTACTGTTTACAGGATACTATATTAGGGACCATGATGATATTTTAGGAGAGTAGGTAGAAGACTGTGAAAGAAACCTCAACCTGCAATCATGACAGCATGTTTGCAGTATGTGCGCCTGTACCGGGGCTGGGGTGGTTTTGGATCCTCCATTTTCTTCCTCAGTGTAGCACATATGGGGTACTGCTTCTAGTCCCCAAAATGAAGAATGCCGAAGAAATCTTGTGCCCGTCCTCAGAAACTAAAGATGATGACAGGAGTAGACTGAGTATCTCTAAACTTGATCTTAGCCCACAAGAGGCCAAGCAGCAATGCCAAGGGATTAGGAATATACAAAGACGTCCAGATGGAGGAGAAAAAATTCTTTATTCACATTGTTCTTCCCTTGAGTTTAACTAATAAACACAATAATTATATCTTATCTATTGAGAAAAGCTTTTCTTGGTGACAGACTGGGACCTTGATACTATTTCTGAAGTAAACAAACATCTTGTTAAACTACTGTGAGTTTTATGAGAACTGTTAGCCACCTTTAACAAAATGAAGACATGGGCTTGCAAGGGAGAACAAGTGGACAAATGCACTTTCTGGCAGCAAAGGTTTAAACTTTTTGTTCTGTGCATGGTTAGATGTTATTTAAAAGTGCTCTGCACTGTGTGGCATCATTAACATGAGAACAGAGTCAAATGCTACCAGATTAGGATGTTTTATACCCACTTGGTCTTCCTGTAAATGTAACTCTAGCCAATACATCAAGAACTGAATCAGGAATTTTCAATGCTGAAGAAATGAATTGTTCCTGCTTCAGTTAAAGAACCAGCACTTTGTAGTTGAGGGACATAATAAGTCAGCTCCTTCTGGGTCCTCACCAAATAGGACCCATCACATGCACTCACCAGTGTGTCACAAATGATTTTTTGTGGCACGGAGCAATAAAGAATTGGTCCTTCCATCAGAGCTCAACTAGTAATCAAGTACTTCCCCTGCCCCCCCCACCCCGGATGATTAATAATACTCTTTTAGGCACAATGGGAGAAAGACTCATCATTTAAAATATTCAGTAATACTCTCCAGGCAAAACCTTCACCTGCTGGCAAGTGACATAGCTTCACTTAAATCAGTGTAGATGGAGCAATGCCAATTTACAACAGCTGAGCATCTGACTTGTCAGACCCTATAGCTGCCACAGCATTCAGGCTTCTTATCTTTCCTAGAGAGTCAACACTGTCATCTAGAAATAAAGAATTAGTTCAGTGGCTAAATTTCAATCCCCCAGAGTCCATTTGAAATTTACTAACATGTTAATTTTAAAGCAATGATGATTTTAGACTGTGTAAAAAGTAACCAGCCAAGTTCTCTCTCTGCAATAATCTACATCACCTTTTAAAAAGAGATTTCATGGTCTCAGGCCTATGCAATATGCACTTTGACTTCCACGTGGCATTTGATAATTACTTTTAATGATCACCAGAGTTATGATATTGTGTACCTCGAACAGCTACTAAATGTTTTGTTTTGTTTTTTTGTCTTATCACAGGCCAGTTTGGCTTTTTCAGTGTGCGAGTGAGCCGGGCCACGAAGACTGCAGACTTTGCTTCTGTGGTGTACAGTGAAATGCACAGTACTCTACACTAAGTCATTCATCAACTGTGTATAATAACACTCAAAAAGAATATGTGGATAATTTGTAGAGTAATAAATAGAACACTTGTATGTACATACACTGTAGCAGAAGCAGAAATTCTTGCTGTGGCACAAACAGATGAATGAATGGAAACACTGTTTTAGGTGTAGTTACTGAACACTGCACAGCTTCCTGTTACATGGCTTCCAACCTCTTCAGCCTAAAGGCCAAACATCCTATCTCATAAAGGTCAAGGCTAGGGACAGATATTCAAAAAGCCTGAGCCCTTGATTCAATCTTTGCAGCTTAGTCTAACCTGACTAGGCTGAACTGGTTTGAAACTGGTCAGATATTCTCTCTGGACTGAGGAAATTCAGGCACATGCCTGCAGTGGCTCAGACTAAACACCAGAGGGCACTAGAGCAGCCCTCCCTTCCCTTCTGCAGGGAGCTGAGCTGAGAAGGGCATGGCCAGGCCCCGGCAGGACTCTCTCATTAGGGAGGTCTGCCTGCACCATCCCACGCTTTTCCCAGCTGGCTGCTCAAGGGACGGGAGTGTTGCCAGCCCTCGAGCCTGGGCTAGCACTGTGAGGCGGTGGGGGCAGGCGGTGCAGTGCATGTATCTGTTGATGATATGGAGCTTTTCAATCTTCTTCCCTGCTTCATCATACCATCTGCAGCAAACTGACAGGCAAGCAAGCCAGCTAGGGGGTTGATAATAGAATTTATCACCCAATTAGCAAAAAAATAGCCTCTCTCCACATTACTTCAAACTTCTTAAACAGCTTACCAGCTGACCTGCTGATTAGCTCCAAAAGCCCTAAGCAGTCACTGTTCTGTCTTCCTATCCCAGTGAAATTGGAGAGAGACACACACACAGACACCTCTTGGCATTAGCTAGCATACCACATTCTAGCTACAGTCTGTGCTGTGGCAAAGAGGAGGAAGGGATCTCTACTTAAGCAGTGAGTGGGGAGAGGGGGGTACAGGGAAGCCAGCAGACCCTGCTGTGCCTGCAAGTCTGTGCCAAGCTCTGGCCAGAGAGCAGAGGGGAGGGGCCAGTTCTGCTGTGGAGCAGAGAGCCTTGTCCAGCCCAGAGAGCATGCTGGGATGCTGAAGGACTCTGATCTAATTTAAACCAGCAAGGGGTCTGGGACAGATGTTGCATAAACCAGTTTGAGCCAAATCAGTTAAGTCTGATACTACATTCAGCCAGGTTTATCTCAAACTGGTTTCAGCCATTTTCAAACTGGTTTATGTGCACTGAACATCTGTTCTGTTACAGGTTTAAACCAGTTTCTGATCACTTAAACCAGTTTATGTGTAAAGTCTTTCCCTAG